ATGCTAACCAGACCCCTCAACCTCTGAAGATGCCTGCTGTAGATGTGGGTGAAACATCAGAATAGAATGCTTCTGGAGCATGGCCATACAGCCTGGAAAACTCATAGCAACCCAATGCTGAACATAATGTCCATATTCAGCAAGCGGCTCCTGTCACATTACTACGTGGAGGAGCTGCAAAAGAGTTGATGTGTGTTTGAAGCAATGTATAGAAAAACCTTGTGATTTAATGCACAACATGACCTGATACTGATTGGAACGGTTGCCCTACAGGACCCAACACACATGCATACACTGGTTAGGGAGAGCCAACACACACTGGTACATTCCTATGGACATCAGGACATCCTTTCCTGGTGTCCTCTTATGCATCTTTGCAATTCACTAAAAGATTTCCTGTGAGTCTCTGCTACATAGCCAGACATTCTATCTATCACTGGTCACAGAATGGCTATGTAGCTGCATCACCTTCATGGTGAGCATGGGAGAGTGTCTTTGGTCAGAGTGTGTAAAACAATGCCATCCTCCAAAATGACCAAGAAAAGACATACAGAAGTGTAAAGTGAACTTAATGCCAGGTATATCACTAACAGGATGCCAGCTTCAATATGTTACTCTGTATATTTGCACTATACAACTCCACTATAGAACCTCAGGCTTTGTTTGCCATCCCTTGCCATTGCTGCATGACCTGGGAAAAGTGCAACTGCTGGTACTGTAGACCAATCATATTCTGGCCTTAGTCACACATGAATGAAATCAATGGGATGTTAAGTTGGTCTGTACTTTAAAGACTATGAAGTGGCACATACGCTTAAGACTCTTTCTTACAAGAATGTAAAAAAGAACTGAATCCTTGTGCTTTTGGCTAGTACCACTTGGGCTGGACTAGAATCACAACTAAATGGTAGATGAAATCCTCAAAATAATACTTCATGATTAAGTGCACGCCATATAGGATTTCGGCGTTTGCAAATCCTTTTTTTCCAATCAACTTGTGGCATTAATCCTCTAATGGCATTATTCCCTTAGAATATATGCCGGATTAAGGAGTCATGATGAGGCAAAGTACAAAAATCCACACTAATCTTTGAATGGAAGATGCTGTGTGGGACGCAGCTAACGAGGTTGTCCCCAGAAAGGGTCGGTCCCCTTTCTGTCCACCCACTCCCTTCTCCTTCTGGCGACAAATGGGAGAGAATGTGTTTGCCAATGGTGTGGACACAAGGAACTCACAAACAGGTCTGCTGGAGTTGGAAACCACCTTTCCAGGCATCGGTCATTGGTTATCTGATCAATCATTAGCAGCTTGATCAGTTGTCAGGGATCCATGCTCTTTATGAATGCCAGGAGGCCTAGGGAATTTGCCTCCTCCTTGTATAGCTGGAAGCCAACTTTCCTGCAAATTTTACAAAGGAATACAAAAAGTGATAATATTTACAGACATTCAGATCAAGAAAACTATCCTTCACTTCACTTCACTTCACTTCACTTCACTTTATTTCTTAATTAGTCGCTCTCCACCAAGGTGCTCTGAGCAACTTACAATTTAAAATAGCATTTACACAATATAAAAACATTCAACATAAAAACATACAACAGTGACTATTTGGCAAATTAGATCTGAAATTAGATATCCTGTAGAAAAGAAAATAGTCCATGAGTGCTCTCTTTCAGACAATGTTATTTTGATCATTAAAAAATGCCTGGCTAATGTCATATATCCTGTCTAGTGCTTTGCAGAGTTGTGGTATTTATCTTAAATTTAAAATATATAAATTGTCAGTTGTATTTTTGCAAGTTTTTTTTTTTAAAAAACCTGTTTAAAACTGCACCCCTCAAAGGACAGAACTTTGCCCCTGGAGTTGAGCTAATGATAGTCTTGGAGGGGAGAAATTTCCTAATTCTGATTTATGATATTCATCTCCATGAAGGAACTCAGCCAAAACTTTAGGAAAAGGTGATGTTGCTGTATGTGCAGTGCATGTTCTTTTGCAAATACAGTAGAGTCTTGCTTATCCAACATAAACGGGCCAGCAGAATGGTGGATAAGCGAAACTGTTGGATATTAAGGAGGGTTTATGGAAAAGTCTATTAAACATCAAATTACGTTATGATTTTACAAATTAAGCAGTAAAACATCATGTTTTACAACAAATCAACAGAAAAAGCAGTTCAGTACACAGTAACGTTATACAGTAATTACTGTATTTACAAATTTAGCACCAAAACAGACAAGGGTTCCTTCTTTCTCCTACCCTGGACATCATTCCTGGTGGGAGGCAGACTGTGCTGGATAATACAGAAGGTTGGATGAGCGAAGGTTGGATAAGCGGAACTCTACTGTACTAAGAACCCTCCAACTGGAAGCATCCTGTGCCCAAGTATGTCTTCAGTATTGTAAATAAGCACAACTTAACCTGTTCTGTTTGCAGTTCTCTGAGCTATTCTGGTAGTTTGTGAGCAACTGACCTCACCCTGGGGGTTTGCAAACCAAATAATCTTCCTTCTATCTGTTATCAGCTCTGTTGCTATACCATAACTATGTACATTGCCAGAGATAAGTTTTTCTTGTGCTTTGTGTTCACACCCTTTTTATATTTGCAGAATGATGTGTTTACCCAGCTCTGCCTGTATTTTAACCAGCATGGTGTGCACTCACTCTGACATCAATCCTTCACAGGTTTTCTTTTGCTCAGTTCTAAACTTCTCTCCAATTATTTGGTGTGTTATTTCTTGGCTATGTGCCATTCTGTCTTCTGGCAATATTATGCAGCAGTATGTATTCATGTAATTCAGCCGAGCCTTTGATCAGTTTTTTTTACTTTTTCCAGTCATTGAAGACAGAGTTTTCCCCAGATTACTGCTATATGACAAAACGCAGCCTTGCCTAAATTCCTTGCCAGTTGGAAACCATTTCATTTCTCTGCCCTGATGCTAGCCTCTTCTCCATTGTATGAGTTCTGCATCTGGAAAATCATATGTTATGGCACACCTATTTCTTTAAGAGCAATTAAAGGTTTTTTTGTGATCTACAAATGTTTTCTATAATCTATAAAGTAGAAGTTATGGTGTGCTCCATTATCCAATATATATTTACAATATGGTCTCTAGGGCCTCTTCCTCCCCTGAACTCAACTTAGACATTTTTTGCTTTATACAAGGTAAAAGTATTTGTTGTTTGATCATCACTTTCCTTGTAGGGTAAATTAATGCAATGGCCCCATAGTTACCAGAATCCCTGGTGTTCCCTTTCATGGGGTGGGTGGGTGTTACTAATCTGTGGGCCATTATTTTGTTTTCCATATTTGTTCACAGATTTTAGTTAGAAAGAGAGTGGACTCTGAAGAAGTTCTATCAATATTGTTCTCTCAAGTGCTCTAAGTACAGCTTCCATTTCACTTTCTAAGGATGTTATCCCATAGGTGGGAGGAAAATGGGGGAAAGCAGAGGAAAGAGTGGGGGCTCATCTTCAGGGATAATCAGCCCTCTCACATTTTTCCCTCGTCTTCTTCATGCTTCCCCCCCTTTCCCCCTCTTTCTTCACTTAGGAGTTAGGTAATGGAGTCTTCTCTCCATTTTTTGCATGCTGGCAAGATGGATTCCCACAGCTGGCCATCGGAAGCAGCTGGGCATCATGGGATGGCCTCTTTGGGAAATCCATTTCGCTAACATGCAAAAACAGAGAGAAAACGTGTGAAACTTGCATGGATAAGGTCCTAAAATTGGTTTAATCTTCAAATGGTTCTTCCTTGAATGAATATATTATTCATCATTTCTTTTATTTAGTTCTTCAGTATATTGTTTCTATCATCTTTACAATTGAAAAGTAAAAGTGCAAATCTTCATAGACCCAATATATTTATTTATCGTGTCAAAAGCAAGTTGAAATGCATTTAAAAACACAAAGTTTTAAAACTTGGTATTATGCTAAATTTTCTTTGACCATAAGCTGGCCACTTGGAAGGTCTCTGGTGTCACTATGAGAAGGTCCTCCATTGTGTATGTGGCAGGGCCCAGGCCACATTGTAATAGGTGGTCTGTGGTTTGCTCTTCTCCACACTCGCATGTCATGGACTCCACTTTGTAGCCCCATTTCTTAAGGTTGGCTCTGCATCTCATGGGGCAAGAGCACAGCCTGTTTAGCGCCTTCCAGGTTGCCCAGTCTTCTTTGTGCCCAGGAGGGAGTTTTTCATCCGGTCTCAGCCACTGATTAAGGTGCTGGGTTTTAACCTGCCACTTTTGGATTCTTGCTTGTTGAGGTGTTCCTGCAAGTATCTCTCTTGATCTTAGGAAGCTGTTTCTTGATTTATGCCGTTGGCATGCTGGCTGATATCCGACCCAATCATAACTGGCAAATAACATTTCTCCAAGTTCTATATAGAAAAGAGGGTGAATCACCCAAGGAATTAATTAATGGAGAGATGGGAGGGAGAGTGATATGTTTGCCATTTATCAACAAAAATATTGTAAAATGGATTATCCTGATGAATTATTGTGTGTTTGGGCATTCACTTTGCAGAAATACATCTTTTACATGAAGATCACGCCAACTCCCTATCAACCCATGACTTATTGACATTTTTATTTAGAATGGAGAGAGTAATTTTAAAAATTGAACAATAATATTTTTGGATGTCTGAAACTCCCTTCTTTCCCTCTAAAGTATGGTTATATATGAGATTTTAAGCTACCCTAACTTTTAAAATCCTTAAGCATAAATCAACTCAGCACCAGTTGCCGTGACTATAAATAAATGTCTGGTAATTATATTGGCAAAACTTGAAAAACATTCTTTCTTGGGTTTTGACAAATTTCATTATGTGCCATACCTTAACTGCAATGATTAACTTCGTCTTGCTTGGATTCTGTAGTGAGTGTTGCTGAAAATCACAACAGCTGAACAATATTTTATAGGGAGGAGGAGGGAATATTACACTGCACTACTGCTTCATATAATAATTCCCACAGAAGTATTTGATTTCTCAGCTTTCTCAAAGCTCCAGCAGGTTACTCTTGCACGCAGAAGTGGAGGGAGGGAAACAGTTGAGAACACAATGAACTTTTTATTCTGTTAGGCTTGTAACATGAGCTGTAAATTGACTCAGCCTTCACAAAGCAAACCAGCACCCAGCAATTCGTCACATGTAGAAGGCTTTGGTGTCAAAGTCTACGCAGCTATTTCCTCTTTAGTTTTGGAAATTTGACCAGAAAACAAAAGAAATTAAGATAGACAGAAAGCTGATGAGTGTATGTAACTGAAATGTCCAAGGAAGCAGTTGAACAAAACTGTTCAGCCTCCGGAAAGACTGATAAACTGCAAAGTCTAATGGAAGAAAAAGTTATGGCAACTCATTTCACAGCACTACGTTATTTCTTCATGTGGATATGTATGTCTTTTGAACACTGAACAGTGCTTCTAGCTTAACTACAGACATCATCCGAGGAGAAGAAATAAAATCAGAACAAGCAAATCTAGGAAATGCAACTCCAAAGCTTGAGTCTTTAAGGAACTATGAAAATACTTGGAAAGCAAAAACTCTGCGGTATCAAAAATGGATAGTGATGGTAGGTTATTTTATCTTCTAAAAATCTCTGTCAATGTTTCTGTTATTTCAATCTGTGGTGTGTTTAGAATTTTGCATGTCAAAGCTTAAGAACTAATGCCCCAAAGAAGGGGAAACAACAGAATAAAATACTCAATATTGATATAAATATTATATGAAAATATATAGCACCACAAAGACAGGCTCTCCTGTACTGGTTAGTACTATAGCTGAGTTACTTCATAGTTGTTTGTTTAACCGTAATGAAATTCTGAGTGGGAAGAAGACATACACAGTATACCATTCATCAGCCTGCCCTGAAATCAATTGGCCTGATATATATTTGCTTGAATGACTTGTGGTTGTTACCATTTTTCCTTTTTGCATACAAACCATCTTGAAATAAACTTCTGAGAAAATTGCCTTTATTTTGTGCACAGCTTTCATCTATGGAGGTTGCCTACGCCAGCAAAATAAATCAGGTGTGGTGCAGATTATTTTGTCTCAGTGGCACCCCAGATTCCTTCACTTAGCACAGTGTTTCTCAACCTGGGGGTTGGGACTCCTGGGGGAGGGTCACAAGGGGGTGATAGAGGGGTCACCAAGGACCATGAGAAAACACAGTATTTTTTGTTGGTCATGGGAGTTCTATGTGGGAAGTTTGGCCCAATTCTATCATTGGTGGGGTGCAGAATGCTCTTTGATTGTAGGTGAACTATAAATCCCAGCAGCTACAATTTCCAAATGTCAAGATCTATTTCCCCCAAACTCCACCAGTGTTCACATTTGGGCACACTGAGTATTCCTGCCAAATTTGGTCCAGATCCATTTTGTTTGAGTCCACAGTGCTCTCTGGATGTAGGTAAACTACAACTCCAAAACTCAAGGTCAATGCCCATAAAACCCTTCCATTATTTTCTGTTGTTCATGGGAGTTCTGTGTGCCAAGATTGGTACAATTCCATTTTTGGTGGAGTTCAGAATGCTCTTTGATTGTAGGTGAACTATAAATGACAGCAGTTACAACTCCAAAATGTCGAAACCAACCCCACCAGTATTCAAATTTGGGTGTATTGGGTATTTGTGCCAAATTTGGTCTAGTGAATGAAAATGCATCCTGCATATCAGATATTTACATTACGATTCACAACAGTAGCAAAATTACAGCTATGAAGTAACAACAAAAGTAATGTTATGATTGGGGGTCACCACAACACGAGGAACTGTATTAAGAGGTCATGGCATTAGGAAGGTTGAGTACCACTGCCTTAGCACTACACCTACTTGAAATATATCAGATTGACATTGCATTGACATTTCCCTGATTCAAAGTCAGATTGAGACCCCTTTCTTGTTCTTCTTCTTATTGGTGCTGTCACCCACTCCCCAACTGAGCCCAGCCATGATTGAGATCAATGGTGAGAGGGTAGATCTGGGCCATCCCCATTTAAAATGCAAAATAAATGTTGTCTTTCTCTTGGGACTGCCTAAGCACTGAGGTGCCTTCTCCACCAGGCACCTCCTGAACAGAGCCTCATTTATTTTGAGATCAGAACAAGGCACCCAGACATAAAATCAAAAGGAAGACTCCACTGTGGAGATGACTGGTAAGGAAAGCAGCAACAGTGCTTCAGCAGCATCATGATGGGTTCTTACACCAGCATTGCAAGTTATTATCTCTGCATTTGTGTGTGTTAGTATCTCTAATACAGGGATGAGGAACATCTGGCCCTCCAGATGTCAGACTGCAACTGCCATTATCCCCATCATTAGTTATGCTAACTAGTGTTGCAGACTAGTGACATATGGAGAGCCCCATGTTTCCCATCCATGCTTTTAGAGACATGTAGGCTCTAATTCTTTTTTAGTATTATGGATTAAAACCAGAGGCTGTCTTGTTTACGTTTCTCTTTTTCTCCTGAATGTAATCAGAATTATCATTGATCGAATGCATTCCGAAAGCATCTGGCTGACTAATGGCAGAAACAGGATATTAGTCTAGATAGCTTTGTGATCTGATCCAGCAGGTTTCTTACAATACACCAGGGTCATATAATACTAAGTCAAGATGACAAGATTAATTCAGAAAGCTTTCCAACCTGACCATTTAAAACCGTATTAGCAAGTTGGCTTTAGGCACAAACATTTGGATCAGGTTTGAGCTGATGTTCTAAAAAGCGAGTGTACCGAAGTTTATTGTGTACCTTGGAAAAGTTATCTTGGTGGATCATAATTCTCATAACTGTCAGACAGCTTGGGCAGAACATAAAAGGAACTTTTCCAAACTCTGAATACATTAAATGCATGTATATACAGGTAAATCTTCAAGAACATCTACTTGCCATTCTGCAAAAAGATAGTTAAGAAGAGGTAAACATGTAAAACTCTATTTTGTGGCAAGAGAAATATTATAGTCCCCTTGGGGAGGTAAGGTAGCCTATAAATAAAGTATTATTATTATTATTATTATTATTATTATTATTATTATTATTATTATTATACAGTACTATTTACTGTTATTTGATTTTGAGAATCTATATGACAAAGTTTACATAACTATTGGTGACCAGCCAGACTCAAGAGCAAATGCAGTTCAAAATACATTCTCTGACACTATCTATCTTTGGAAAAACCTATTGCCAGGAGCTCCAAGAAATTGTGAAGGCGGACTGTTTCAGAGATCCCCATTCAGCCTGTTTATAAATCAGATCCAGAAGAAGAAATCTTCTGCTAAGAAGGGGAAATCTCAATATCCACCGAAAAGCAGATTCTTTCCCCAGAACTCACATTTTGAGGAATCAAAAGATGAGAGCAGGAAAGGAAACTCAACGCCCCCAACAAATACATCTAGATCAGAAACGCAAAGTGTGGAGCAAGCTCTCCCTGCAGCAGGTAAGAGTTGTAAGTTCATAGATTTTAAAATAGATTTTTTAGGGTTGCCAAATCTGAACTATCCCAAGTCTGAGATTTTAGCAGCAAATCCTGAGATCCAGGGATGATTCCTTGCAATGTCGCTCCTGATGATGTCATTAAACATCAACTGCAGTTGCAAAGAATATACTATTCAAAGAAAACAAATAAGGAAAAGATATATCTACACGTACCCTACAAGGCATTACTCTCATTCTGAGATTCTTCTTCTTTGCTCTGGAGACTGGAGAAGAGCCATGTCTTGAAATCTGGCCACTCTAAACACATCTACCATAGAAGCATGTGCTCCCAGAATTAGACATTTTGCTCTTGAAGGAATGGGAACATTTAGCACCTATGAAGGAGTAGTTTCATCATGTCTCTCAGCAAAGTGGGCCGAATCTGTTTGATTATTTTAAAAAACTTAGTTATTTAACTTTTTAGACATAATATTTATTTTGTGCACTTTATTAATATTAGCTATCAGAAAAAATGTGTATCTGCAGTAGTGTTTGAATGCTGTTTTTTGTAATCTGAGTCAGGCAACTTTGGAGGGAAAGTACCATCCTTTGAGTAAGGAGGGATGGAGCTTAGCACATCCAAACTGAGGCCCATAAAGCTTCAGCTTGCCTCTTGCCTTTGAGGAAGCAATTACTCATATGGAAGTTTCTATATGGATCATCAGCTTGCACATTTCTTATGTGGACCAGGAGAGGACAGGGCAGGATCTTCTACACCAGGCTTAAGGACCTAATTTGGAATAGGACATATCATTAAAAATCTCATTGGTTCCTGGTGTACAGGAGACTTTCCCTGGCTGGAAGACCAACAAACTTTAATGTCTCCTGATATCATCAGTGACTGGGGATAAAAGTAAAATTGCCTGTATGCATCTTACCCTCCAAGGTGGGAAAAGCAAGAATGCAGAGGGCTCTGAAGAAATTTCTTCCATATCTTGTGTGGGTCAGATAGGAAATCACCCCAGTCCAGAATAGGTCCAAGAACTATTAATCTTCTTCCGCATTCTGCACTAGCCCATGCAAACTCTTTTCCAGAGACAGTGATCATATCCATAATCTAGAACAGTGGTTCCCAACATTTGGTCCTCCAAGTATTTGGGACCAACTTCCCAAAGCCCCAGCCAGCTTGGCCCACTGTTAGGAAATCTGGGAGCTGAAGTCCAAAACACCTGAAGGACAAAAGTTTGGGAACCACTGATCTACAAGATAGGGAGTTTTTTGTGTCACCAGTTTCATTTCAGAAACCACAGGGACAAAGCCATTCTATCCTCAGTGTTTTGGTTCTACAGATAATGTCCCATCTCCTGCTGCTAAAGAAGTATTAGCTTTATGTCACTGGAGAGTCAAGCAGTTCCTGAACAAATTGGGCAAACAGCCTTCCAACAAGATTTTGGACTTAAATAATTGTGTACTGGGTGCATCAGACGTAACAGAACTGAGTAAGTATACATTTTGCAAAGCTGAATTCTGCTAACTTTATCCTAGGCCCTTCCATATAGCTATATAAAATCCAAATTGAACTGGATTATATGGCAGTGTAGACTCAAGTAATCCTGTTCAAATCTGATATTATGGATTATTTGCCTTGATATTCTGGGTTATATGGTTGTATGGAAGGGTTCCTAGTTATATCTTCCTAGGTTTTTTTCTTACCTGTTTATCCCATGATGCCTCTTCACTTCCAATAGGTATGGTTATTAAAATAAGCCAAGTTGTGGTTGACGATGCTAGCTTGTTTTACTAAACTGTAATTAAGCTTATCCATAATTTAGAGTTAAAATGTGGTATAACAATTCAAAGAGTGAAGCAGGTGTCTTCCAAGTTCTCCTTGATTAACACTAGTGTGATGAGGTAGTCTGTTGTAACAATGATAACTTTGTAAAGGAACTCCCCATACCTCAACAACCCTCACCCTCTTTGTTTTTTCCTTGCAACATATTTGATATTTGTAAAGATGCAATTGACCAATAACTAATCTTCCCCCCCCCCCCCCGCCAAATTTCCTTTTCCTTCCCTTGTCCCCACCTCACCCCCCACTCTCCTAGCAAATGTTTAATAAAAATTATTTGGAAAAAAGTGAAAATTAAATGTGTATAATGCCCTTATCTTATCAGCTGTATTTTTTGTACTGCTCTTTTCTCCTGTTACAGTTGACATCATACCTCTGCTATCAGGCCTGGAGGAGATTGATCTTTCCTGGAATGATTTTATAGGAGGGACATTAGGACCTCTTACACAGCAGTTCAAACATCTGCAGAAACTAAAAGTCCTCCAACTGAGTAACTGCAGGCTCACAGCCAAAGACATGGCCTTCTTAGGTACTATCAAATATGTTACTCCAAGAATAGGTCATTTTCTTAAGAAATGCTGGTGAATTCTGCCATATCCACATTGAGAAAAGTTACATTGTTTGGACCAGGCATGGGCCAACTTTGGCCCTCCAGATGGACTTCAACTCCCACAATTCCTAAGTGGCTGAGGGGGAAAGGGAGGGGCCCTGTGACTGTTAGGAATTGTGGGAGTTGAAGTCCAAAACATCTGGAGGGCCAAAGTTGGCCCATGCCTGATTTAGACTGAAACTCCCATGTTCTCTTTTCTAGTTTGCCAGTGGCCATTCCAGCTGACACTTTCTGGGAGATGAACTGTTTCAAGCTCCTCCCAGACCCCTAATCTGTGTTTGGAAAATCTAGAACTGCAAATCCATTTTAGACTAAACTTCAAATTGTTTCTAGTATGCACTAATTCAAAATAGCCAATGTAAAGCTTTAGAATTGTGACTGCAAATTCCTGTTCTCACTTCTATGGCTGGGACGAATTTTACCATTCACTCGAGGCTGCGTTGCCTGCTAGAAGTGGTGAGTGTGAGGGCTCCATTCAGCTGCAACGGATGATTTCCATGTCTTTTAAAGTGATAAAATCTATCTAGATTTTAGGTTGAACTTTAAGAGAGACATTCACAATCCTCAATCTATTTTGGAGATCTTCTTTAAAGTTGAGAAAAAATTCCAGAGCGGATTCTTCATCCTACGGATATGGAAGTCATCATCAGCTGCCTCCACTGGCTCTGTTATGGTGCTCAAGACTGAGGCCTTGGTGCTTGTTTTATATATACTTAGGTAGTGAGCAAACTATGCAACTCATTTCCTATCCCATGACTGTTATTGCCTCACATTGGGTCTCACAGGTCCTCAGTGAAGTCTGGATTAGTTGTCTGAATGGCCAGATGTTACTGCAAATTATTTCTAGCATGAATGCAGGAATGGTGCATCATAACCCTGATGTAATGATTACATGTTTGCTGGAAAAAATGGACATGTGTATGTGTTGGAACCTATATAGAAAATAGAATAACGTCTGCCTAGTTCTCTTTGTATACTTCAATCAATATGTACAGTTTTGGGAGTTGAAGTCCAAAATAATGTTTTCAAAGTCTGGGTTGTAGGTTTTTCCGAGTTATATGGCCATGTTCTAGAGGCATTTTCTCCTGACGTTTCACCTACATCTATGGCAAGCATCCTCAGAGGTAGTGATGCTTGCCATAGATGCAGGCGAAATGTCAGGAGAAAATGCCTCTAGAACATGTCCATATAACCCGGAAAAACCTACAACAACCCAGTGATTCCGGCCATGAAAGCCTTCGACATTTCCAAAGTCTGTTCCAAATGTCAGTTTCTTTTTGTTGTTGTTGTTATTGTTTTTACAGGAGAAGGACTTCAAGTAATTCCTCATCTCGAAGCACTGGATTTATCATGGAATACCAACGTGGGTGGGAGATTTTCCCTTCTAACCCACAAAATACCTAAAGCTTGTGCACTCAAAACACTAAAAGTCACAGGCTGCAATCTGACTCCTGAAGATGGCGAATCATTAGGTGAGAATGCATGGCAGAACAATGCAACATTTTAGTATTTTGTCACTTAATGTAGACATAAAGCTAAATTCCCTTTAGTATGAGATGATGGTTTGAAGCCTCTGCATTTGGATACAGATTCAGCTTCCCTTGTCTGGAATTCCAAAATTATCCCAAATTCTCAAATTTACCTCAAGGTGACTGAGATAGGGACACTTTTGCTTTCTGATGGTTCAATGAATGCAAACTTTAATTCGCGTAAAAATATTAGTGAAAAGGTTGTGCATAAAATTACCTTCAGGCTTTGTGTATAAGGTGTACACAAAACATACATGCACTTGGATCCCATCTCCAAGGTATCGCAATATATATATGCGAAAATTCCAAAATCCAAAAATATCAGAAATGTGAAACACTTCTGGTACCAAGCACTTCAGATAAGGGATACACAACCTGAAATGGCTATGTTGGTAGGCTTGGAAGCCCAGAAGCTGTGTAGATGCCATCCAGTGATTAGAAAAAAAATACTTTTGGGGGATTAAACCTTCTGTTAGCTAATTAAAATTAGCAAATGAAACACTTGTGCACACATATATATAACATGACTCTTGCCTGTACCTGCCTAAATGCTCAACGGTTATGGATTTGTTGTCTCTGACTCATGTCTGGCTTTCTTCTCAGCTCAGCTCCTAAATCGTATGCATAACCTTGAAGAACTGGACCTGTCTATTAACAAAATGATAGGATGGAGCCTGAACAGTATCGCCCAGGAACTAAAATATGTCTCAAGCTTGAAAGTACTAAATTTAAGCATGTGTGGATTAAAACAGGGTGGACTCCAGTGTTTAGGTCAGTACAGGGGTTGACCTGGAACTGGGAATTTTAATACACATAAGCACTGGCAGACAGTGGCTTCCATATCATAGAATCATAGAATCGTAGAGTTGGAAGAGACCTTGAGGGCCATCCAGTCCAACCCACTGCCAAGAAGCAGGAAAATCGCATTCAAAGCATATCAGTGACACAGTTAATTTAATCTAGGTTTAGTTTGAACTTTAAAGATCCCTATCTACCAAATAAATTCAGCATATTTGATAGCTTCCTGAAAGTTGAGACAAAAGCCAGGAATGTATGCATTTTTCTTCATGTCAGGAGCGACTTGAGAAACTGCAAGTTGCTTCTGGTGTGAGAGAATTGGCCATCTGCGAGGACATTGGCCAGGTGACACCCAGATGTTTTACCATCCCGTGGGAAGCTTCTCTCATGTCACCTCATGAGAAGCTGGAGCTGACAGATGGGAGCTCACCCTGCTCCCCGGATTCAAGCTGCAAAACTTTCGGTCAGCAGTCCTGCCAGCACAAGGATTTAATGCATTGCACCACTGGGGGCTCCTAACAAATGCAATGCACCCATGGATATGAGACTCAAAAGTCATCAGGAGTTATATTTACCAGGGTCTGTATAGACTCTGGGGAAAATAAGATTGAAAAGGTTTGAAATTGGATCATTTAGTGAATCATGGCAGAAGAAAGTCCTAAATAAAGAATTTCATGATCCATATACAAGCTCAACTGTAAAATTGTGTGTGTGTGTGTGTGTGGGGGGGGGAATTGTTGCAGAGACATTACCCAATTAGGGTTTTAAAATATATATCTGTTGGACTAGAGTGAAGTACAAATGAAGCATAATAAATTTTAAAAATTAACAAATAATAATTATAATAAACAAGAAATACCTTGATGGTATATAGGTTACTGACTACTCTTTCTGCTTGCTCAATTTCAGGGACTGCCTTGCAGCATTTATTGGAATTAAGGAAATTAGATGTATCTTGCAATAAAGAGATTGGAGGAGGTTTCCAAAACTTTGCAACCCATTTGGCTGGACTAAGCCACCTTGAAATTTTGGATCTTCACCAGTGCTGTATTACAGAAGAGGACATGGCCATTTTAAGTAAGAAAAATAATGAACAGCCTTATACAAAACACAATGCCCAGGATCCCATGGGGTGGAATTATGGCAGTTCAAGCTGACAAGGGCCATAACATTATATAATATAAATAGACCCCTGGACCATAACAAAGTGAGTGGAAGGAAACTCTTTATATACAACACTTTCTCTCTAATTTCATACGTCATTATGCAAAGCCATTGTAGGTTATGTTCCTCTTTATAAAAAACCTAATCACACATTTTCTTGAAAAACCTAACAAGGCAGGGAGGTGAAAGTGTTGCATATACTCAAAACAGTTTCAAATTTGGCAAGGAAAGCCCTGATATTTCTTTTTCAATCCACTTTCTCCAGTTGCTTTTAAAATCTTCTGGTTTCTCTCTCTTCCTCTCACTCTTCCCCTTTGTCCTTAGTGCAAAATTGGGTCCATCATTTTGAAACACTATAGTTTGCATTATAAGTTGACTCAGTAGGAAGGAGAGGACCAAAGTGGCAAATCTCACTTTTCCCAGTACATTCAGGCAAAAGCAAACTGCTGTAGCTTCTTCTAGCTCCTGTCTTATTCTCATTCATAGTTTTGGACAGTTTGCTACATTTGTCTTGAATTGCATCTATAAATATTGAAGGGTATGATGTCAATTCTAATGCTAAACTCAGGTATGATGTCAATTCTAATGCTAAATAAATTACAATTGGAGTGGAATCGCATGCAATCCCATACTTCCTGATGCCACCTGACTCAGTTTCTGCCTTGACAGATGAAATGGCAGCTGCAGCCACTTTCAAGGTGCTCTACTTGCTACTGGGCCTCTGGAAACCAAGGGTGCACCTACATCAGTGGTTCTCAACCAGTGGTTCCCTGGGTGTTTTGGCCTGCAACTTCCAGAAATCCCAGCCAGCTTACCAGCCGTTAAGATTTGTGGGAGTTGAAGGTCAAAACATCTGGGGACCCACAGGTTGAGAACCACTGATCTACAATGTAGAATGAATGCAGTTTGACACCACTTTAACTACCATGCCTCAATGCTATGGAATCCTGGGAGTTGTCGTTTTACAATGTCTTTAGCCTTCTCTGCCAAAGAGTGGTGGTGTCTCATCAAACTACAGCTCCCAAGATTACATAGCATTGACCCATGGTAGTTAAAGTGGTGTGAAATGGCATTAAATCTCTAGTGTAGATTCACCATTAGTTATTTCCCTTTTCAGACTTACTGCTAAATCCCATTAACCAGGGTTGGTAAAATGCATATTGTAGATATTTTAAAACACATTGCTTAATTTTGCTAGAAACACCACTTTTCATTAAGCAATTAGCTTAACAAAGCTGTAGGCACCATTTGCCCAAAATTAGCATTATAAGACCATCTATTGCCAACAGGCATTATTGTTTAGGAAGGCAAGCCTCTTCTGAAATTGTGGCTGTTTTTCTTTCATTATTCAATGATAAAATAATGTATCCTTTTTGTCTGTCCATTGAAGAGAGTGACAAAGAAAACTGGACAGAAGAGACTGTTTCAAATATAGTTGCCTCCTCTGAACAGAAAACGACCCATACACTTCGTTCTTATATTTCAAAGCCTGTGTACTATCTGTATTGGTTTTTTCATAGCCCAGATAATACCCCTTTTGTCAAGTCTTCAAGAGCTGGATTTATCATCAAATAAAAGTGTTGGCCTCTCCTCCGATCAGCTATTCAGCCGGCTCCGGTTTCTGCCCAGACTGACTTCTGTGCTCCTTGGCCATTGTTCTTTACAGCATGATTCATTTGCATCTTTAGGTAAGGTCTTGATACTGGGAATTTCCAATAAATCTTGGTCCTCAGAATGGAGGGATCTCTGGAGTTGGTAGGGGGTGAGGAGGTCCCTCAGGTACATCGGCTCCAGACCATGCAAGGCCTTAAAGATGAATACAATCACTTTGAAAGTGATCCGGTGCTCAATTGGTAACCAATGCAGCTGCAGTAAGATTGGTGTTATGTGGCATCTCATCAGAATTCCCGCAAGAAGCCGAGCAGCTGCATTTTGTACCAACTTGAGCTTCCGGATCACCGAAGTGGGAGTTGAAGTCCAAAAACCTGGAGGACCAAAGTTTGCCCATGCCTGCTATAGAGGAAACTATTCTAGGTATCAAAAGCAGCATCCCAATAATTAAACTTGGAAGACCAAAGTTTGCCCATGCCCGGGGTAGAGTCTTGCCCTTCCCAGTCAGCCCTGGCTAAAGCAAAAAAAATTCCCTGCTCTTAATGACTTTTGCCATCTTAAGCACACTCTGATATATCTTTTTCACATGACCCAGTTCTGAACTGTGAAATGGTTGAGGGCATGGCAGTCCCTTGCTGAGTAGCACTGAAATATCAGCCCTTTGGTATTTCCCAAGTGGAACACGGAGCTGAAATGAATGCTGAAACGGTGCTGGAAAGCAAATAGGCAACAGATAATATCTTTGGCCCAAGGATTTACCAATTCCCAGCACTGCTTTCAATCCAACCTACTCATACCACTGATTGAGATAGATACAATTTATTCCAAATGTTGGTGTTTTGTAGAGCTTCAGAGTTGCGCATGAAACAACAAGAAGAGCAATGCCTATTGCATATTTGGTAATCCTTATCTGAGGTCGCTGTGACCAGCACAGAGTGTAATTTTGTGGTTTAAGAGGATGTGCTCAGAATCTGGCACTGAATGTAGTTATTAGCCCTGGGCACATATAATTGCTGTTGCAGCAGAAAACAAATGACAGGCTGCAGCAAACAGTATGGGCTATAAGGAGATGTCAGCTATTGTCAAAATGGAATTTGTGAGGCTCATTAAGGCCCCTTCCACACAGCTGTATAAAATCCACGTTGAACTGGATTATATGGCAGTGTAGACTCAGATAATCCAGTTCAAAGCAGATATTGTGGATTATCTGCTTTGATATTATATGGCTGTGTGGAAGGACCCTGAGAGGCTTGTTCCTACATTGGGTTTAAGAACGTCTCAACAAAAAGCATACTATACAAAAAAGCAAACAAAAATGTAGATAGCCTCAACCTGGAAATAATTACAATAATTTGGCACTATGGAAGTTGGCCATGCATAAGCCGCACCGATAATAGTGAAGCATTTGGTGCATGAATGAAGTTTATCTGTGATAAGGCTATCCCCTTCGCACATAAATAACCTCTGGATTATATCTTTGGTGCTGTGCTGATAAGGGCCACCATACACACAGCTGCCATCATGTGGCCATCAGTTGAAATGGATCGCTCAGCCCCAAAGCTGTTAAGACGCCCATTCAAGAGGTACTCAACATATTTTAGCCACAGATAGCTAATCTGATGATTACGGCAATACTGACTCCTGCAGGAAATAAAGGAGGGCATTGTTCATTTCAGTGAAAGAGCGGATCAGTAAAGTTTGGCAAGTAGAACCATTTATAAAATTAAGCGAGGCAGTCTCATATAGACCACAAAATTCCAAGTACTTGAATAAATGCAATCCTTTCATTGAATGTTGAAAAACAAAATGCACTGTGGAAATCAATGTTTATTCATGTGCAGTGTTTTGTAAATGCTTGTAAGTATTTCTGTCATTATGTTGTTTTTGAGTAACACCAAATTGGTATATGCACCATTATTTTTCTAGATTGTTTACTGGCAAGTCAAAAGTTGCATGTCTTTCTGTGTGTTGGTGTACACATATGTGAATGAGTTATTTTCTTTCTTTCTTGAAATTAGTTATTAACAGTTACTTTCGTTTTCCAAAATTTCAGTATTATGATTTTAAGAGCACTAAGATACACACACACACACACATACATACGCATACTAGTGTAACTAACTAACTATATATTGGGAAGATTTAACCAAAAATGGCTCCAAAGATCAGAAAACCCTATTCCAGAAGGTGTTCGTCACTGTGTAAGGTGTTCGTCACTGTTTAAGATTGAAGGGAAAAAAAGAAATCTCCAGTTCTAGAGCAACATGCCAGATAAATTAGGACAGCAAGGACAGAATCATAGAGTTGGAAGAGACCTCGTGGGCCATCCAGTCTAACCCCGTCAAGACATGCCGCATTATCACGGGGTGTCTGTGCCCTACACCACTGGAGAAATTACACTGTTTAGCCAGTATTGCACAACCTGACATCCACCGGGAAGTAGCAGCCAATAGTGAAAGAACCAAGGCAGAGACATCTCCAGCTCATCCCCTGTTTGGATATCAGCCAGCACGTCAACGACTTAAATCAAGAAATAGTTTTCTAAGATCTACAGAGACACTCACTGGAACACCTCAGCAAGCGAGAGTCCAAAAGTGGCAGGCTCAAACCCAGAATCTCAATCAATGGCTGATACTAAATGAGAGACTCCCCCCTGGGCACACAGAAAACTGGGCAACTTGGAGGGGGCTGAACAGACTGCGCTCTGGCACCACGTGATGCAGAGCCAACCTCAAGAAATGGGGCTACAAAGTGGAATCCACGACATGTGAGTGTGGAGAAGAGCAGACCACAGACCACCTGCTGCAATGCAGCCTAAGCCCCGCCACATGCACAATGGAGGACCTTCTTGCAGCAACACCAGAGGCATTCTGTATCTTTGCATTTCATTTTTTCTGCCTAAATGGAGTATCTTGCATTTGTCCCTGTTGAACTTCATTTTGTTAGTTTTGGCCCATCTCTCTAATCTGTTAAGATCATTTTGAATTCAGCTCCTGTCCTTTGGAGTATTAACTATCCCTCCCAATTTGGTGTTGTCGGCAAGCTTAATGATCCTGCCTTCTAACCCTTCATCTAAGTCATTAATAAAGATGTTGAACAGAACTGGGCCCAGGATGAAACACCGCAGCACTTCAGAAGAAAGGAAGGGGAGCATCTTGCCCTTCCCAATAAGCCTGGGCAAAAACAAACTACAGCAGCCTCTTCCAGCTCCCCTGTCCTTCCTCATTCATGACCTTTGCCTGACAACACTCTGACAATACTCTGACATTGCTTAACCATATGAATTTTGGTTTTTATCTGTGAAACGTTGGAGTATGTGACAAAGAGAAAAACCTCTGGCCTGTCTGGCAAACCACTGCAGACAAGCAATATTCTGTTTGGAACCATCACACATGGGTGATATTTAGTGTATTTGCCACTTTAAGTGGAAGTCATAATAATAAAAATAGGCAGCCATTATGTACTAAATTCGATTCCTGTGCTTGTGAGAATTGGAGGGAACAATGGCAGGAAAGGGAATTGTGAATCCATATAATTAAGCAAATATCCCTCCTTTTGTGTGTTATTAAACTGCATTCAATGTAGAAGCAGCATGGATTAGACAAACAGATTTTGATTTCATAGAGTAGAATAAAGTAGACTTTCATATATTTAGAAGAAATGTCTTTAGATGGACAGGACTGTGTATGTATGTGTGTCTGGTCCATGCCTATTTATTTCAGTAAGCGCAAGATGCTGTCGCTAATCTTTTCAGCTGAGGCTGCCCTTCACCTTCCTGAACTGATGATATTAGACCTTTCTTGGAATAAATGCGTTGGTGGGAACCTAAAGCTGATTTTGAAGGCGCTAAACCCTGGAGCTGAGATGCAAGTGTTAAGACTGAGCAGCTGCAGCCTGGTGGATGAGGATATCCTTGGCCTTGGTTAGTAAAAACACATGTAAACACACACACAGCATTTCCCTTTTCCTTTGGACACCTGGTTTTTAAACCTTGTTTTTTTAGGACAGCCTTTTCTCTCCTGATCCAAAACATTTGCAGCATGTGGCATCAATAGTAGCGGATGGCTTCAACATCCATAAATTCATTCTGGGCATTTGTTGAAGGAGGTTTCCAAAGTGCTTTCTTTTTCATGACAGGGGCAACTTTAAAAACTGCAAGTTGCTTCTGGTGTGAGAGAATTGGCAGTCTGCAAGGATGTTGCCCAGGGGATGCATGGATGTTTTTGATGTTTTACCATCCTTGTGGGGGGCTTCTCTCATGTCCCCACATGGGGAGCTGGAGCTGATGAGAGGGAGCTCAATTCGCTCTTCCCAGATTCAAACTTCTGACCTGTCAGTCTTCAGTCCGGCTGGCACAAGGGTTTAGCCCATTGTGACACCAAGGGATCCTCCAAAGTGCTGAACCTATATGGATATGGTTCAGCACTGGATGGCAATTTTAGATTTGGCTCTGAAACCTATTGTGGATTTACAATCTCAGTGACCTAGCAGCCTCCAATTGCTACTAAGTAAATGCCTTATCATTATAACTTCAGCATTACCAGCTGACCTGTCAGTGCTTTTTTTCAGCTGCTGTTATTCAAGACAGGAGCTTGGGTCAACTACAGAAGTTGGACCTTAGCTATAACCACCATGTCTCTAACCATGGATGGACAACATTTTGCCAAGCTTTAGTTGCACTGGATCAGCTTTCTGAACTAGATCTCAGCCTTCGGCCATCACTGCATTGTGACTGCGGGGAATGGTTTGGCCAACTGTTGGCTGCCTTGCAAAAGCTGCCTTTATTCACAGAGCTGGGACTGCAAGGTTGGGTCCTTTCCAACGTTCAGCAACAGCAACTGGAACAGTTCAATGGAGAGAATCAACGAAATATTCGTTTTGACATTTGGAATGAACTTTGAAACTATGAACCGACGTAATAGCAACAAACAACTCAGAACTTTCATATGTTGTTTCTTCAGCTTTACCCACCATGGTATAGTAGTAACCTTTGGAAGTATAGTTGCTCATCTTGATATCGTCTCCACAGCCAAGGACTGACCCCTTGGGAACCCACTGAATGCAACTACCTGTGTTGATCTGTATCAACAAACCAATTTTAGCTCTCTCACCTTCATGAAGAATAGGTCCTTTGCAAAACTAATTCCATCTTCAGGACCAAGTGACATCAAAATATTTGCATTGGGATATATAGTTGTCAGGAAGACATTTCCTCCTCACATTGTTAGGTGAGTAAGACTGCTACATTTACAGGAAACAGAAAAGTCTGGTGAGGGAATAGTGCAATCATTGCTGCTTCTCAAAAAATCCTTTGACCTTGCAAAGCTTTGACTTCACTACATCACTGTTGACCTGACATAGTATAATAGGGAAGAAGAGGGGGGAAGAGGGCAGCAAAGAATCTTACTCAGTTGGGAAATACCAAAGCCCTTTCAATTGACTGGTAGCCATCTTATCATTTGTGGCTGTTGTCTAAAACTTCAGAAATTTCTCCCTAAGAAAATAATGTTTGCGTCATTGGACAATGTTCTCCATTAGTTGGAGTGTACAAGTGTCATAAAAGCAATAAAAAGTATTGTTTGCACCTTTCTTCTGCTTTGTGTTTATTTCCTGGCCCCATTGCGCTTTATGTTTCCGCCTCAGAAGAACTATTTCTTCTTGCCCTTGCCTTTACCCTTGCCCTTGCCCTTATCTTTGTCCTTCCCTTTCCCTTTCCCTTTCCCTTTCTCTTTGCCCTTCTTTTCTTTCTTCTCCTTCTTGGCTTTCTTTATCATTTTCTGGATCTCTGCATAGGGCCCGAGACCCTTGCGCACCATGATGCCACGCCAGCAAGCTTGGACCTATGAGTTAAAGTGAGAATGACAAAGATGATGAAAAGCTCATTTCAGATATTTTGAAGGATGATGTTGGTATCTTTCACATCACACAATTATAGCAGTTTAACTGACATGTTTGGATGCTGAGGAATCCTGGATTGAAAGCTTTGAGATAAGCTTTGAGAATTTTGTGCCAGGAAGCACTAGTATCTCCCCAAACTACAATATCCACTCAGGTCCAGTCAAAATTACAAATCCAACAATTGTACTGAATGTAGTTATGGCAGTTAAAATGGTATCAAACTGTTATAACTGGGCAGAGTGAAAAAGATTACAGAGTAATCACTTTAATTCCAAAAGAAAATCCAATTAGTAGTTTGTTCACTTTTTTTCATGTCAGGAGTGACTTGAGAAACTGCAAGTTGCTTCTGGTGTGAGAGAATTGGCCATCTGCAAGGATGTTGCCCAGGGGATGCCAGGATGTTTTGATGTTTTACCATCCTTGTGGGAGGCTTCTCTCAGGTACCCACATGGGGAGCCTGAGCTGACAGAGGGAGCTCATCCACACTCTCCCCAAATTTGAACCTGCAACCTGTCGGTCTTCAGTCCTGCCAGCACAAGGGTTTAACTCACTGCGCCACCGGGGGCTCCATGTTGACTTATGATGAACACATACATTTCATAATGTTTTCTTTGGCAAGAAATACTCAGAATGACTTGCCTACAAGACCTGGTATTAACTGGCAATCTCCCATCCGAGTATTATTATGTTTATATTTGTTACTATATTGAAGCATTAAATGTTTGGCTTTTTGGTTTGTTGGAATCTGTCCTGAGTCCCCTCGGGGCAATAGGGTGGAATATAAATACATTTGTTGTTGTTGTTGACCAGAGCTGATTGTGTTTATCTTCCAAGATCAGACAGGATCTGGTCCTTTTAGGATATTTAATACTTGTCTGAAGTATATCTTGTAGAGATTATAATACTTTAACTCTCCTCCTCTTTTCATTATCACTTTTTTTTTCAAGTCAAAAGAGGCTTTCTAAGGTCTTCCACTCTTCCAAAAAGGAGTGGACTATGGAGAGGTGAGGGATGAGCTGGCTCAGAGGTAACAATGGAGAGTAAAAGTCTTCAACAGATCATTGATTAAGACAAGTAGTTCTTAATGAGACAGCAACCATGGACCTGCTTGGTGGTTTCTAGATCAGTCATGTGCAGAATTCGCTCCAAGTTGTAATTTCTGCTCCATGGGAGCTATCCAAAGTACCAAGCTTTAAAAATATGTTAGGTTCAGGACCTTGGATAACTCCAAGCTAGGAGTTGGAATGGCCTCACCATTACAGCTACCAGCCACTATGATAGGTCCCCTATGCCTTCTTGTGCATACAGTAGAGTCTCGCTTATGCAACATAAACAGGCTGGCAGAACACTGGATAAGCAAAAACAATGGATAATAAGGAGGGATTAAGGAAAAGCCTATTAAATGTCAAATTACATTATGATTTTACAAATTAGGCACCAAAGCATCATATTTTACAACAAATCAACAGAAAAAGCAGTTCAATACACGGTAACGTTATGTAATTATTGTATTTACGAATTTAGCACCAAAACATCTCAATGTATTGAAACAGCTGTGGATCCGGGCGGGAGGCAGACTGCTTTGGATAATACAGAGTGTTGGATGAGTGAAGGTTGGCTAAGCAAGACTCTAAAGTATACGTATCATTCTCAAGATAGGGGAGACACTGATCATAAACTGTTCTTTTCACACACTGTACCTTCAGCTTTGCTCTCTTATTCCCCAATTTCACCACATTCTGGCAGAGCAATGCCATACAAATCTATTTAAGGATTACATATCCATCAAAATATTTTCCTGATCAACTATATAAATAGTTTACAAGCAGATTTAAAATGACAGGGTTTACACAAATAATCCAACCCCAACAATGCTGCCTGGCATTCCTCTTGTACTATTCTGAAGTTGATTTGTACCTTGACAGCCCAGGCCCTCCGCAGTCTTGCATCTTTTAAGTACTGCCATATGGCTGGCAGGCCTTCGGAAAACACTTCCACGGGTGGGTCCATCAGTGGGTTTCCCTCGAGGGAAAGAACCTGCAGTTTCTCTAAGCTATCCAAGTTCTCTGGGAGTTGAAATAACTGATTGCTGTGAAGTAGTAGCGTATGCAAACCTAAACACAGAAAATCATAAAAGTGAAATGTTTCCAAGCCATGTTTACTTAATGCTTACTTTGAAGCTCAAAGTAATCATAGTTTTGTTGTCACTGTTTTCAACTGCAAGTGCTGAAATGATCTTGGTCTTTGAAAATAGACATTCAGCCTCAATGCCAGAAGCCAGGCGAATTCCAGTTTGCTTAAGTTGAGGGAACTCAGTCTCTAGGAATGAATTTGACTGCAAATGCCACAGTCACAAGCTTGAAATGCTTCTCATAAAGGTTCCTTACTGACGGTAAGAGATTTTAGAGTTGAAATATACTGGTATTTGGCCCTCTGGATAAAAAAGAACTCAACTTTTGTCTTCGAGACTGCCTAGTTCCCAAAAACAATGTGGCTAGAACAGGCATGGGCAAACTTCGGCTCTCTAGGTGTTTTGGACTTCAGCTCCCATAATTCCTAAGAAGCCTACCGGCTGTTAGGAATTGTGGGAGTTGAAGTCCAAAATACCAGAAGGGCTGAGGTTTGCCCATGCTTGCTCTGTAGTCCTTTTCTTAGCAACTCAATCTTACATGAATACCATGTTGTTTCTCAGCTCTTGTATTCCATCAGGCTAGGCCAGAAGAATATGAGTTAGGAAAGAGAATGATCCTACCTGCTACAATCCTTCATCTATACAGTTTCCTTCCTTTTGTGTTTAGATTACAATCTAACACACAAGGATCATCCTGTTTTTCTAATGGTTGACTCAAAGCCAGACTTTAAAACCATGGAAGTCATTCAAATTATGCAAAGAGAAAAGACTTTGGTAGAGTAGGTCCTCCAGATCCATAAGGGTTAAATTCTGGGACCCCTGCAGATGCCAAAAAGGCAGATGATCACAGACCATATTATTAAATGACAGTGATGCATGCGCAGACACTTCAGCACATTTATGCTGCCAGCATTTTATATGTAATATGTGATTATCTGCAGTTGGGGGACATTGTGGATTGGAGCCAGTGAATGAAGAGAGTCCACTGTACTTGCTTTCTGTAATTTATAGAGACCTCCACCTTGAAGAAACACAAAACAGGTACCTAAAGGATGTTGTAGTTACACAAAAATAGTGTCCTTTGAGTGAAGAGAGCCTTTGTCAGGATCATTCATTTCCTTTATTTTACCTTGTAGGCGGCATATGGAGTCAGGCAGCTCTATAAGAAAGTTTCTGTGACAGTCAAGTATTTCCAGGTTATTCAGTAAGCCAATGGTTGTTGGAAGATACTCCAAATCATTCTCCTCAAGGTACAGTTCCTTCAAGTTCTGGAAGAAGAGAAATTCACACCTGTCTATTGCTCTAGGCATTCAGCGTTTGAATCCCAGCTTGGCCATGGAAACTCACTGGATGACTTTGAGGAAGTCAGGCTGGGTTGCTGTGAGTTTTCTGGGCTGTAGGGCCATACTCCAAAAGCATTCTCTCCTGACTTTTCAACCACATCTATGGCAGGCATCCTCAGAGGTTTTGTGAAACCTATGAGGATGCCTGAGACCTCACAAAACCTCTGAAGATACCTGCCATAGATGTGGGTGAAATGACAGGAGAGAATGCTTCTGGAACATGGTCATACAGCCTGGAAAATTCACAGCAGCCCAGTGGTGTCGGCCATGAAAGCCTTCAACAACACATTGAAGTCAGACTCCCTTCCTCAGATGAAGGCAAGGAATAGCTGAGAATAAATATTAACATCATCATCATTGACATCCTCTCAACAAATTCTGGTAAGAAAACCCCATAATAGGTTCACCTTATGGTCAACATAAGTCTCAAATGGTTTGAAAGCACAACTCTCCCATCTTGATATTTAACTTTTAGATAACCAATTCTGGGGATTATTGGATTGTAAACAAATAGAGAACTGTGTGGTGTCTTTTTAAAGAACTGTTGGGGGAATGTCTTCATCACTCTCTGGTTGAGCTCTGGGTTTAATAATCTGTAAACCTCTAGGAGTCCCATTATTCTTGGGGGGGGGGCACATTGCCATATTTAAATATTTGAAAAGATCCTATATCAAAGAGGGAACCAGATTGTTTCCTTTTTCTCCAGAGACTTGGACATGGAGCAATGGGTTCTAATTCTGATGGGAAAAGATTGCAATCCTTTTTATTTAAACTATTTCCAAGCTGCTCTTTTGCACAAAGAGATTCGAGGGTGGGGTACACAAAGTATAAATAAAGTTCCCACACCTGATTTAATACAGTAAAATAACTTTTTCACAAGTAACAAATTGAGAGGTAATACAACAACAAAGCAAATAAAGCAAAGATAACGATTGAAATGTAAAGCATGGGGAAATAAAAATATGTCAGCATGCCTATGCCACCGCTCCCAAAGATAGCAATGTTTCAGATAAACCTTCTAAGGGATGATATTCCACAGTCAGGGTACAACAACAGTAAAATAAATAAATATTAATATTAATATTAATAATAACAATAATAATTTTCCCTGCCCCATGAAAAATCCAACATGTATCATAGATTTTAAACATCTCTGGCAATCAGTTCTGCCATAAAATGAAACACAAAATCAAAATGAATTTCTTTTTCTACCCTGACTCCATCTCCCCGAAGGGACTCGGGGCGGCTTACATGGGGCCAAGCCCAAGGCAAAATACAATTAAAAACAAAACAAATTAAAACAGCAGAAAACAACATAACAATAATAAACAAGCATCAAAAACAACAGCAGACTAATTTTGGAGGTGGGGGGGGAGGAGGACCACTATGCGAACTGGTTAAAGGATAAGGTGGTTCAATAAGGTGGATAGAAATGTATAATAGCATAGGAAATAGCATGGAAACAGAGCAATTAAACTGGATCAATTCATATATAGTAATGTAGTATAAGAATTCAGATTCAGACGTCATATCTGTTCACTTTCTTACCTGTAACTGACTGATGTTATCTGGTAAATCTGCAAGCTTGGTTCCTTTGTCCTGCCCCATGTACAGTTTCTCTAGTGATCGAAGATTAAATATTTCCTCTGGGAACCAGGCGAATCTGTTGCTGGTCAGGCCGAGGCATTTTAGCCGAGAAAGTCTGTATACTTCTGGAGGTACCTTGAATTATCGTTATTATTTTTTTTCAAAATCAATATTCTGAAAAAATGGATATAGGACTAGGATTGTGGGGAGAAAACAGTTTCAGACATTTGGAGTCCAGATGGCATATGCATGTAGTAAACAAAGAAACAAATGGGTGTCTGTTCTAATCTCATGCATAGCAAGGAGACAGTATAAATGAAATCTGAAGACAAGGAATGTTATTATTGTATTATTTTTACCATTGTTCRTCACTTTGAGTCTCTTTGATARTAATAATAATAATAATAATAATAATAATAATAATAATAATAATAATAATAATATTGTTGTTGAAGGCTTTCATGGCCGGAATCACTGGGTTGTTGTAGGTTTTTTTCAAGCTATATGGCCATGTTCTAGAGGCATTTCTCCTGACGTTTTGCCTGCATCTATGGCAAGCATCCTCAGAGGTAGTGAGGTCTAGGGTTGCAGTCTATGGCAAGCATCCTCACTACCTCTGAGGATGCTTGCCATTGATGCAGGTGAAACGTCAGGAGAAATGCCTCTAGAACATGGCCATATTGCTCGAAAAAACCTACAACAACCCAATAATAATAATAATAATAATAATAATAATAATAATAATAATAACCCAAGTGATGCAGCTACAAAGAAGGGGGCAAAATGAGAGTATTTCCTCTCTGTCTCCATAAAATTTTCCATCAATCCATGCTAACATTTCCAAGAGATAATGCTTTGTACCAAAAACTCTTATGTATGCTGTTGAAAGCTATAGCTATATCAGTCTGGAATATCATTAGGCAAACTGATCTTGTAACACTCTAGAGAAGTATTTCTTGAATTGTGTTCTTCAAAGTGTTTTGGGCTTCAGCTCCCAGAAATCCCAGCCAGCTTCCACCTGTTAGGAAGTCCAAAATATCTGGAGCAGCACAGTTTGAGAAACTTGGCTCTATATGATAAGGCCTTATCCACCTCTTCTGGTGCTATAAGAATATGAGGCATATGAATGTTTTAACAGGGGAAGCATTTTTTACGGTTTTAATGCAATTTTTTTTAAACCCTAATTTTTGCTTTGTTTCCAGGAAAAAAAGTTTTTTTTAATTTTTGTTAATGTGTACTATCTGGATCAGGTTGGTACTGGGGGATAGTGGGATAGATTTGTAGATGGCATATTCCATCTGACAAGTGGCACCATTCCTTTTAATACCCAGTGCTACTTGTTGGGATGTGTGTTTAACATGAATGGTGCCAACTTGGAATTTGGCTGGGGACACATGTAATTATCAATATATTTCAATCTGTTATGTTACAAGAAAGTATGGCACTAACAGGGTGAATCTGGACATGCTCCCGGTCAGAATACTGTATACTAGACCTGATTTATTTTGCTGGTGTGGTCAACTGACTCAATCTACTTCCCCAGATGCAAATATTTGCCATGTTTGCATTCCTTCGATAATGTTGCTTGCCCTTTTTAATTTGGATAGCTAAACTATATTTCCAAATGCTCAACTAAAGTTTTAAGTCACTGAAATGCTAGAGGTCTATAATGCTAAAACGGTCTATATCTCATTACAGTAACTATCCATACCTCAGTTATCTGATTGTCATCCAAAGACAGCACCTCCAGATTTTCCATTGCACAAACCTCCCTTGGAAAGTCCTCCAGCAGATTTTCACTCAGGTCTAGTATCATCGTGTTGGTGAGCCTGGCTAAAGAGGGATGCACCATCTGCAAGGCACAGTTTTTCAAGTAAACTACAATGAGAGACCTCCAGCGGCGAATCTGGCGTGGGAAGTTTGCCAGAGCGTTCCCAGACAACCCAAATTCCTTCATTTCTGTCAACTCCTTTAAACTTCGAGGAAGCCTGTGCAGAAGGTTATGGGACAAATCCAAAATGGACAATTTTGAGCATTTGCTCAACGTGTCAGGGACAGATGTCAGGCTATTATATGCAATGAAGAATTGGGCCAGACTTTCCAGGGAGCAAATTTCTTCTGGTATGGAGTTCAGTCCATTTTTTTCTAGATCTATTATCTCTAAATTGTACAGATGACAAAGTTCTGGGGGGAAATTTTCAAATTTGTTGCTTTTCAAATAGATCTCTGTAAGTTTGGTCATATTGACCACTTCTTTGGGCAGGCAAGTGAGATTATTTGTAGACAGGCCGAGGAGCTTCAGGTGATGGAGGTGTTTGCAGATTTCGACCGGAAATTCATCCAGGTTGACATCATATAATCGAAGCTGGCAAAGGGCTCTCAGTTTACTGACAATATCCAGTGAATCATAAGATAGTGGGTTGTTGCTTAAATCCAAGCTCTGAAGACATTTCAGTTCTCCAAATTCCTTGCACAAGTATCCAATGTTATTCTTATTCAGATAAAGGACTTTCACGTTCTTGAGTAGACAGATGTATTCAGGGATGCTCTCAATCATATTTCTTTCCAAATGCAATTCCTCCAAGTCTTCCAGATCAAAAACCTGCCAAGGGATCGTTGTCAGTTTCTTGTTGGCTAAATCAACAAAAAAGATCCGATCTGTGATTTGCACTGGAACAAAAATTTCCTCTATTGGTTCTCCAACTATTATGTCTTCGATTATTATGTCTTGACTTCCATCTGTTATCTCTTCCTCCATCTCTTCATCACTGATATCTTCCAAAATAACAGCACTAGATCTGGAGCCATAAGAGTCTGTTTTTCCGACAAAGCTTTTGGAAGTATCAGCCATAGTTTATCTAGACTTGACTATGAAGAAAAGAGAAGAAGAAAAAATAAAAAATGCTGAGAAGAGTGGCAGAAACAGAACACTGGGATTGTGAATGAAACCATTTATCAATAATGCGGTCCAAATATTTATTGAATAAGAGACAATGTATGGTACATAGAAATGTTTTGGACCCAGTTTTGGTTTTGTTATTTGCATTTTCAGATTTAATTTAATTTAACTTTATTTGTATCCTGCCTTTCTCTACCCCGAAGAGGAATCAAGGGCGCTCTACATATGGCAACTATTCAATACCTTTGGACAACAAACAATTAAAATACACTTAAGTTAAAAAATTAAAATTAAATGCACATTAAAACAAATAAACCATTGCATTCACTATTAAATTCACACCATCTTCAATCATTGAACATAATCCATGCCATTCTGGTTGTATGAATCTAATCATAACTGTTTATTATATGCTGAAGGTGCAGGAAGTTCTATAGGTGCAGGAAGACCTATAGGTGCCCACCCCCACCCCCAACAATGACTTATGCTTTTATTGATGTTGTTATGGTTTTTATTATATGTTAATGCTTTTATTTATTTATTTATTTATTTATTTATTTATTTATTTATTTGATGCATTTATTAACCGCCATTCTCAGCCCTCCAGGGCGACTCATGGCGGTGTACAGTATAAAATTGTATTTTAATTGTATTTATGGTATTGTGGGCATTGAATTTTGCCCTGTAAACTGCCTTGAGTCGCCTGTGGACTGAGAAAGACGATATACAAATACAGTATATAAACAATAATAATAATAATAAATATATAAGTAACAAACCTGTCGTACAACAACACAGCTGATGTTTGGAAAACAACAATAACATAATACTCTGTGTATCTTAGAGTTGAAAGCCAGCAAGATGCAGTGGTTTGAGCATTGGATTACAGCCCCAAGACCAGGGTTCGGTTGTCTTTCTGCCACTGAGAAACTCACTTGTCACACACTCTCAGCCACAGAAAATCCCATGATATGTTTGCCTTAAAATCACTGTAAATCAGAAATGACTTGATGGCATACAAGAAGAAGCAAGCTTGTTTTGCAACTGAGAAATCTCCAATAATGTTTTCATAAATATGGCCTGGAGTCATTGCATAGCATGATAAAAATAAAGGGTTGGAAGAGATCCTGAGGGCCATCCAGTTCAAACCCCGATCATGCAGAATAAAACAAGTAAAACATTTCCAACAGACGGCCTTAAAAACTTCAGAGAAGGAGAATCAACCAAACTTTCCTTGTCAAAACAGCTCTTACCATTAAGGAAATATTTCTAATGATTAGGGGAAATCTCTTTTCCTGTTGTTTGACTCCTTCATTTTGTGTTCTAGTTTCTGGAGTAGCAGAAAACAACCTGGCTCCATCTTCAATATGAAATCCTTTCCAATATTTCAGCATGGCTGTCATTTCACCTTTTACTCTGTTCTGGGCTAAACATACCCAGCTTCCTAAGGCACTCCTCACAGGGTATGGTTTCCAGGCCTTTTACTATTTTGGCCACCCTCTTTTGGAGATGAGATACGGGACTTTCAACAGAAATAATGCTTTTGTTTTGAGGCAATGCTTGTGCATCATCTTGGAAGAAAAAAATGCATTACTACTAGTCATGTAGACTAAAGCTGCATAGTAATGAAACAGTGGAGTGATGACATAAAAGACTGGGCATATTCTATTTTTCTGGTACCCATAAGGATGGCTATCTGAGAAGTTTACTTCTAGAGTTTGCTTTTTTGAAACTGTTGGCAGTTTTCCCTGCATTCTAACGCAACTGTCATATCCCCATCACAAGCCCTTTTCAAAGATGATTCGTCCGCATACCTCTGATGTCACAAAACTACGTCAGGATGGATGACGCTTTCTGATCTTCAGCAGCCAGGCAGGCATCAAAATGAGAGGAACGAAAAGGAGGAGAGTTGGGACGGGAGGCCAAGTCCAGCTGATGAGCTCACGTTTATCTTAGAGATCATAATAAGGCCATCATGAGCAGCTTCCTCCTCGACTTAACCGCATCTTCCCAGGTATCAATAGAGACAGGTGGGGAAGGCACAGGAGAGAAGAAAATAAGAAATAGGTTCGGTGAAACACTGAAAAGGTATAGGTACTATAACGGTAGCTTTCATAATCTGATACGAGGGTACCAAATTCTATTGGAATGGTGTAATCATGGCTGTCAGTGTGTTTGTATTGGGTGCAATAGAGAACTTTTTCCACTCATGACCCCTTTTCACCCAAGAAATATTTTATGTGACCCCAGAGATATTGGTATATAAAATAGGCACACAAATCAAAGATTTGTGGATAAGGTAAAGGTTTCCCCTTTACATTAAGTCTTGTCATGTCTGACTCTCAGTCAGACATCTCCGTTTTGAAGCTGAAAAGTCGGCATTGTCCGTCGACATCTCCAAGGTTACGTGGCTTGCATGACTGTATAGAGTGCTGTTACCTCCACACTGAAGTGCTCCCTATTGATGTAGTCATATTTGCATGTTTTCAAACTGCTAGGTTGGTGGAAGCTGGGCCTAACAGTGGGGCTCATCCCATTCCTCGGATGGTTAAACCCCTGTGCTGGAAGGACTGAAGACCGACAGGTTGCAGGTTCGAATCCGGGGAGAGGCGGATGAGCTCCCTCTATCAGCTCCAGCTCCTCATGCAGGGACATGAGAGAAGCCTCCCACAAGGATGATAAAAACATCAAATCATCCAGGCGTCCCCTGGGCAACGTCCTTGCAGACGGACAATTCTCTCACACCAGGAGTCACTCCTGACACGACCAATTCCTCGGATTTGAACCGCCGACCTTTAGGTCAGCAAATTCAGCAGCTCAGCAGTTTAACCCGCTGCACCACTGGGGGTTGATATGCTGATAATATATCATAAAGAAATGTGTTTTAAAACCATTCTTTGGTATACGTATAATTTTACCATTAATGAAAGATTAAAGCAAATTTGCATACTAATGTGGATGTGCTTGTTTATTTTTACATAAGCAATAAAAACTTGGCAGAATATTTCACACAGAGCATCTTCAATATTTTTCATGCTATGCTGGCATGTTTACGTTGCAGCCTCAATGGGGAAGAATATGCTCTGTTGCCTCTCTTTTTTTTCTCCTGTAAATGTGTAAAATAGCCACTAGGTGGCAAGCCTCATAAATTTTAATGACCCCCAGATTCATTTAAGAGACCGCAATGAGGTTGTGGCCAACTGTTTAAGAAGTTTTGCAGTAGTGGTCCAGGGGGATACTTTTTCTATAGTTTCCAGTGTGTCTCAAACTTTGATCTTCAAGATATTTTGAACTTTAGTTCCCATAGTTCCACTGGTCAAGCTGGTTGAGGTTTCTGGAAGTCCAAGACATCCAGAGGACCAAAAATTTGGGAACCACTGCAGGAGCCTAATCTGGTGGTGATGAAGACAAGATGTTTTCATCTGACATATGCCACCTCAAGTTCCTTGAAAGGCTAAAGCTGCAAATATTATACCTTAACCACCCACCTCTTCTGATAGGTTGGAACATAAACGAATCCAAGGTGGGTTGCTTGTTTTGCACCATTGGTGCAAAAAATGGCTTGACTACATTCAGCACCAATTTCCATATGACAGCACTTTGCATTTTGTTGCTTAAGCAATCCTTCGTAGCCCGAGAATGATGGTCCTCCAAGTGCAGTGTCTTGGTGGTGGATCCGTAGGTGACTGTGGAGCCCTATTCTTGATCCGCATGTTCTTCCAAAGTAAGGAAGGGTTGGCTTGACGCGCCTTCTTCTTGGCATGTTTCTCCCTTTTGCCCTCCATTCGTGCCTCTTCGAATTCCGCAGCACAGCTAGTCACAGCTGACCTCCAGTTAGAACGCTCAAGAGCCGGGGCTTCCCAGTTCTTGGTGTCTATGCCACAGTTTTTAAGGTTGGCTTTAAGCCAATCTTTACATCTCTTTTCCTGTCCACCAACATTACATTTTCTGGTTTTTTTCAGTTGGGAGTATAGTAACTACTTTGGGAGACAGTGATTGGCTGTTCGGATAACATGGCATTCAGTCCAAAGGAGTTGACAGTGTAGGAGCATCGCTTCAGTGTTAGTGATCTTTGCTTCTTCCAGCATACTGACATTTGTCCACCTGTCTTCCCAAGAGATCTGCAGGATTTTTCAGAGGCAATGTTGATGGGATTGTTCCAGGAGTTGAGTGTGACATCTGTAGACAGTCCACCTTTCACAGACGTGTAACAGGGTTGGGAGGACAATAGCTTTATAAGCAAGCACCTTGGTCTCCCTAAGGATGTCCTACTTCTCAAACACTCTGCTTCATTCGGAAAAAGGCTGCACTTGCAGAGCTCAGGTGGTGTTGTATTTCAGTGTCTATGTTGACTTTTGTGGAGAGGTGGCTTCCAAGGTAGCAGAAATGGACAACATTTTCTAACATTACATCATTAAGCTGTATTTCCGGCATTGCAGAGGGATTGGTTGGAAGACCACTTTGGTTTTCTCGATGTTCAATGAGAGGCAAAGCTTCTCGTATGCTTCTGTAAAGGTGTTTAGAGTGGTTTTTTAGCCTCTGATCAATCTACAGCTATTCTGCACATGCCATTCATACTCATGTATACGTCAACTTTGCATATAAGTTGGGGGCAGTTTTGGGCCAGCCTTCGCTCACAACTTAAGGTAGATGATTGTGGTAGATAAAAGTATAGTATATGCCTGGTGGATAAGTTGATCTCATAAATAAGTTAAGGTGAGGATGCTTGCCATAGATGCAGGCGAAACGTCAGGAGAGAATGCCTCTAGACCATGGCCATATAGCCCGAAAAAACCTACAACAACTCACCCCAGAATAACTCTAAACGTGGACAGACACCCAAGCAAGATACTTGGCTGTTGAAAGAAGAGGATCCGTTGGCATGCTCAGAAATCATTACCTACAACTTCGCTCCAATTGCCGCCGCTCTAGGGGTGGATCTGCATTGCAAAATTAATGTACTTTGACGCCACTTTAAATGTCATGCCCCAACGCTATGGGATCCTGGGAGTTGCCCTTTAATGAGCACCTGCACTCTTTGGCAGAAGAGAAGACCACAACTCCCAGGATTCCGCAGCACTGAACATAGCGGTGAATTGGCGTCAAACTGCGTTAATTCCACAATGTAGATGCACCCTAGGATCATAAAGCAAGCTTCTGCAGGTCCTTTCCTTACTTGGGCTCCGGCGGGCAGGAATTTGCAGGCGAAAGCAAAGCCTCCCTCCCTGGGCTGGAGTGGACAAAGGAGGCGCGCGCCCTGTTGCCCCGGCAACCGCGGCCCGGGAGGAGCTGCTTGGATGTTGCCTTGCAGCTTGATCACTTGCAGGAGAGTAAAAACACCTTTGCACAACAGCAGCAGGTAAACGGGGGCAAGCAGAGGGGGGAGGCAAGGGTACATTGCCAAGTTTCGTAAATGCACAGAGACCAGTGGACACTTACTCTTTCGCCCTTTTTTGCTGCAACAGCAGGAGGCACAGAAGTAACTACTGCTCCCTACAGATTGTGTGCCTGCAGCCCTGTGCTGCTTTGCTCAAAGAGTGTCATGCTAAACAGTGCTGGTGTCTAACCAAACTACAACTCCCAGTATTTCATAGCATTGAGCCAGGGCAGTTAAAGTGGTGACAATCTGCATTACTTCTACAGTAGATACACCCTTTGACGTGGTGAATGCATTCCAGGTTTTAATCTAAATTTTATGTTGGATCTACACTGCCCTCTATCCCAGGATCTGATTCCAGATTATTGCTGCGAACTGGATTATATGAGTCTACACTGCTAGATAATCTGAGATATGAAATAATCTGGGATTGACATATACATGAGTATGTATGGCATGTGCAGAATAGCTGTAGACTGATCAGAGGCTAAAAAACCACTCTAAACACCTAATCCAACCTAAGAGGACCTATCCAAGATGCAGGACCCAAACCCCTAAATTAGTGTTTCATAGTGCTATAAAATCCAGACTAAAACCAGGAGTGAACTCACCTCCAGGAACTGATGGCCATCACATTGGTAGATATTTACTTTGTTGTATTTGACTGCTATAAGTAGCGAAAGTATTGTGTGGTTTACTGTGCAATGTTCCCTTAATACAGTGGTTCTCAACCTTCCTAATGCCGCGACCCCTTAATACAGTTCCTCATGTT